CATATAAATTCGTTATCAAAACATAAGCGATACATTAATATTTTTAATTTTGAATGGGATATTAAATGTCTTACTCTTAGCAACATAGTGCACCTATGGCAATACCAGACTCCCGTTGCAGCGTCTTCTGGATCCATCGGAGGATCCAGACATTCAAGATGAAAGCTTGCTGGACATTTGTCGCAAACAAGTCGCTCGCCTTCAATACAGCCACAGCTATCACAAAAGTCATGGCAATTATTTCGAGGCTTCTTCCAGAATGGATCATCGCGACTCGAATTAGTACTCGCTTGATGTTGGGAGCTAGAAATAAGCTGAATTCCACATTTAGTATCAGCAGAATCTCCGCTTGTAAGGTAGTTTTCAGAAGCTTTTTTAGCGCGACGAAGTGCCCCCTAAGGATTCAATTAAAGTAATTGCCTTACCAATCCAGTCATCATCTTTTTGCTATGGTTCTCGCATGTTGGAGGCTGAAATAGAGCGTTGATGTTGGCCATGAGGCTTTCTTTATGTGTGACATCGCATTCAATAGACGACATTGTAAGATGTTACTAAAAATGAGATATAAAAATACCATGTTAAAAAATAGGATATATTTAAAGGTGAATATGTTCAAATATATTATAAAATTAGTAGAGCAAATACATGATAATTGGAATAACAGGAAGAAAAATAGGTCCTTCATAATATTCCTCAAAATAATTATATTAAAATTTAATAAAACGGTAATTTTAACCTATTAAATATAAAATTACGGAAAATAAGTGGAACTTTGACTGTTTATCTCATAGTGATTGAACAATGAAGCACAAGAGGCGAGTGGGAGAAACAAGCCTTAAATCAAATGCAGCGCTAGATTGGCTGCCGAATAGCCTGTCAGTTTGCCTCAAGCTAAATTATTAGCGTTTCCCGAAAATTCGTCGAAAAAAGTGACAAATATTTAAATATTTGATTTATAAAGGAATCTAGAGTTACCAAATATTGAAATACTAATTCATCTGGACACTATAAATTGCCGGTTGAAAATTCTCCTCTAATGTCGATAGTAAAAAGCCACGTTTTGCGTTGCTCGTTTTTCGAATTAAAAATTAGGTAGGTCATTTTTAGGATAACAATAACTTCTTCAGGTTGCATTTTTAACCTATAGTTTTTTTCTACTGCATTGTTAACTCTCTGAATGTGCCTAAATGGAATTAATTTCTACTTTGAGAGAAGAACATAATAACACTCCTTATATAGCCTAGTTCAAGGTAATTTTTGCCTTCAAAAAAGTGGTATGGCTTTGGAATAAATTATTCACACACCAGCTCTGATTTAATTATCTTTCATTTCATAATTCTTTTAGAGGAAGACAGATCAAACAGACTATTAGCCAATAGCTTAAGGATTTATATGCAAGGTTATCTAGTCCGAAATAT